GGGGGGGGGGGAGAGACACTCCGTCTGTAGGGAACTTTGGGCTTTTACCCAAACAAACTATAGAAAGGGAAAACCCCAAAAAGCATAATAGGGCCTCTTTTATACAAAGTTAGGAGGTTCAATAATCTCTACGTTCAGAAGGCCGCTTAATCTTCTTCTAATAATTATTTGTTCCACATTTCCCTTCCAGTTGTCTTCCAGTGTGTTTAGACACCGCATCAATAGATCCAGGTATTTATTTGGCTTTCTCGACACTCCTTGGTTTATCAGAGGGAGCAAAGTCTCAGCAGCACAACAACAAATGTTTATACTGAAAGTCTCTTTTCGGATTCTGAAAGTATTTATTTGTAGGAGGCTTGTCTTCCCCAGAGGACATCAATAGATGAAATGTGTTAACCATTATATGGCGTTAACATGGGGATGGCACTTATATCAATCCTTCCCTAAAACTCCTCTTACTATAGCAAGCAGTTTCTGCACTAAAGTGTCTATGATTTTGCCATTAAACTATTCATCTACGCCTATATGCTGCAGTTACCGTGTGATTTACGAAGCCTTTTCAATGCCAGCAAGAGAGACAGACACGGCCACAGAGAAAGAGGCATAGAGGGATAATAAATAAAGAGGAGAAAATAGCCTCGGGCGTGTGGATGATGTGGAGGTAAAAAAAAAATGGAGAAAAGAAGAAACAGAAAGACGATGGAGAGTTGAAAGCTTCACAGTACCTGTATTGATCGGGTTTGGAGAGAGAACGATAGACAAAGGGAGAAAAGGAAAAGAAAGATGGAGTCAATGCGCAGTAAAGAGAGTGGAAAACTATAAAAGGAAAACAGAGTATTCACTTTTAAAGTCTTAAATATTGGTTTTCCCTGATATCAAGCAAAAAGATAAACACACAAGATTTCAGTTTTAAACAATGACCCTAGATAAACCTCAGCTATCTTCCTTGATTTTCATGGTTAGGCTGATATTTGTTCTCTATTTTACTGTATGTTCCTGGCATAAGAATGACACATTAAAACAATAACAAGATCAAAGCAAAGACAAAGAGAGCATAAAGGCAGGCTGTGGCCTGTGGACGTAACCCTACAGAGGAGTAAGTGGATCCGGCTCGTCGGACAGGGAAGACAATGGGGGGGATGTAATCGGCCGTGATAAATAGAACCAGCATTAAATTACTTTCTCAAACTATAAGGGTTTTGATCCAGACAGCGCTCAGCCCTCAGTACACAGAAACAGAGACAAGAGAGAAGGCAAGAAGGGAGAACAAAAGAGATTGAGAAGCAAAGAAAACAGAAAGGATGGAGAATGCAGAGTGGTAAATAGAAAGGGAGAGAATAAGTCAAAGGCTGTAAATGAGCTCGTCTACTTGCTCTCATCTCTCAGCCTCTATCGGGTTTTACCTGTGACTGCGTGAGAGGAATACAGCTGCTCCACAAGCCCATCCATCTCTCTCTAACACACCGCCTCACTACGCACAAAGATTTGTAATTCTACATTCAGAGCTCTCACAATAAAACATAAAGAAGCCAGTTGCATAGAGACTATCTGTGTTTGGATATAAATATATACTTTGTTTATATTAATGCAGATGATTTGATGTAATGTGTCTGTTTGTGATGACACATATTTCCTATGTTAAGATTGGGTGAAATAATTAGTTTTTCTGTAATCTGTTTGTTTATATTAGCACCATCTTACCCGCTTAGAGAAATAATAATTCAACTGAGCTGGATTACATTTGTTTCTTTCCTTCACATTCAATTCTTAATTAACCAACAGGAAATGTTCAACTTAGCTGTCAGAGTGGCTGTTAGTCTGTGAAATTGACCAGCATTGTCTAATATTTACAGAACAGACACTTCAGGAATAATTTTAACATGTATACTGAGAGTCTAGAGACGATCAGAGTGAATACCTGATGTATTAATCTTCTAGGTATGTTTATAAATGACAGAAGAAAGAAACCACGCCGGTCTGTGGAAAGACAGAGACCGATGAAAGAAACATGATCATCTGGGCCTTATCAGAATGAATAAGAGATGTCTTACAGGGGGTCCTGAAGGTCCTGGAGGTCCTTTGCTGTCCTGGGAGCAGGTACAGGCATGAGGCAAGGAAGGGCACTGCTCCTCTACTCTCTGAAACACACAGAAACACATGGGGTGTGAAGTGCACTTTGTCTCTGCAGGTGAGATGTGAGCTGCATCATTTCAAAAAACACCTGGCCAGAAGAACTCATAGCTATGGTTAAACGTGCTTGCCAACGTCTCTCAGGTCTGTGAGCAGTGTTAGAGCTCTTTCTAAATACAAATCAATGTTTCGTCCACTTGAATTCTGATGAAATACTTCATTCCAAGCAGGAACTTTAATACAGGGTCATTCACAGGTTACAAATAAGTCCTTGCTGTCTCTTCAAATCTTTGCTTTCAAAATACTGCAATCAGTGTAAAAGAACTAAAGGTTCTTATTTTCAGTGTCTTTTATCAATGCCCCCTTTTACTTATTATTGACTTCTCATAAATGGACATTTTATTTAATAAAAACATTTTTGCTGCCTCCTTGGAATACCATCAGAAAAATGAACTGAAGCTGCTTAAGATGCCTCTTTTGATTGTAAGGAGATGTGTTTTTTCAGACTCTATGGTTTTGCATTGGATTGGACCTTTTTTGAGACCCCTTTTCTGGACTCTATTTGAGATGACCGGGCCAGGCTCTTTGGAGGCTAGTCTATGGAGATCTATGGACTGAGATGTCCACGTAGGTCTTAGTGTTTAATACTGTATGCCATTATCCTATCATGTACACTAATTGTATGTATCTTCTTTAATAATTATGTATATATTTAAATAAAAAGTAATAACCACAACATTTTAAAATGTCTGATTGTCAACAAAAAGTTCTTAAAAACAATGCTTTATGGATTGCAGAGGTGAACATAATTAAACCATTGACTCATTGTATGTTTTATGCCTGGGGTGGTCATTGATAATTGCGGCTCGTACAGAGACATGCTCAGAATTGTATATTGCGTGCTGGAGAGATAACAATTGTCATTCGGTGCATTTATTTGACATAAATTTAATTACGCACCTGAGCACTGGAAATACTAGTGGCAGCATGTCTCTGCTAATAGCGGCTCATACAGTCCAAGTCATTCTGGTGTAATTATCCTTCAATTTGATTCAAACCACAATTATCACTCTAATTATCTAAGCCTGTATTATTTAGAGCCCTAAACTACTGCCCACTCAGAGGGGGAGGCAGTACAAAGATGTATTAAAGTTAGTAAGAATGTGTGTAAGAGAGATTATATGTTACATTTCTTACCAATGCTGGCAGCTCACAACACTTATCTCTGCTGGCCCAGGATGTGCTGCAGATGATGTCAAACATCTGGAGCTGGAACTGTAAACCCACACAAGTTTGAGTACACTTACACCCACACATAAAGCAGCTCCCAGTAATAATGCAATCAAAATAGTATCAGTTTAAACATTTCAAGAAGTAAAGAGGCAACGTTACAAATGGAATATATTTATCATGGTCATTTGGTGTTTCTGTGTCGATAAGAAATGAGAACAGATGCAGTTTGGCGCTAATGAGCAGCTGAAAAGAACTGGGAGATATGTGACATCTGGCGGATATCTTCAACAAGTAACATGAATGTGCGGGAGGCCCCACCAGTCTTAAACTATAAAGCAGGCCATACATTAATGAAGTCATGATCTCTGATTTAAAGTTTCCTGTCACTACTGAAAAGGCAGCCGTCTGACATAGAAAACTGTTCTCATTCTTTCCATTAGAAAGGCAGTTTTTCTGTGAACATTTCTAACCATCCAAAAACAGGAAATTTTAATACTCAACTAAAATTCATAACAAACTTTAGACGGATAGATATCACAGACACAACCTAACCTGGAACTGTTTTATATAGGAAGTTAAATACAAACACAAACACATGAGATCAGATTCTTTCTACTAGTTAAAATATGGGCAATTATTACTCTTTTACTTTATTGTAATCATCATCATTATTATTTATTTTAAGTGCAGGCTTCTCAATGGAACAATTCAACCTGTTTCGGTCGGGTTTCATATTCACATGGCCCGCATAAGTTAAGAAAGGTACAGAAGTCAAAAAGTTTAAGAGCATCCAGTGGACTCTGTTACCTCAACTCTATCAACTTTATATTTGACAAATCTAAGACAACGAACGGACATTTGAGTCAAATGTTTATAATTCCTGCCCTGTGTTATACAGTCTAATCCTTGTGTTGATAGTTCTTCTATTACGGCACCACAGGGGGTCTTAGACTCTTAAAAGCTGGGCAGTGTCAGTCAAACTGAACTAAAATTGAGACCTGAAAGAAATCTTGAGAACAGTTCCCTCTTTATACATGCTGATGTAGTCACTTTTGTAATCCTCTAATCAATGCATCAGCTAAACACCCACAGGCCCTTCTGTGGAGCCCAAAACCAAGTACTTATTCAAATGAAGACTTCACTTCTGGACAACTGAAAGTACAGACCGTAAAAGAGAATAAATTGGCGCCTGCTAAAGCTACCATTTTGTTTTCATCTTCTAATAATTACCTTTCCAAACTTGACAGACACAAAATATCTTTAAATCCATAACAATTACAGGACAATCTGGTGCTAAGTGAAGAAAATGTCATCTTTTCTTTATTTTCCCACATAAAAACTACTTCATGCTGCAATTCTCCAGCTGATTATTTTCTTTGCAGCAGGTAAGAAGTGTAAATGTAATAATAGCAGCGCTCAGTTTTCCCAGAAGCACAGGATTCCACACCTTCTCCCCTGCCTTCGTATGCCAAAAGTTTTTTGTGGTTGTGGTACTTAATGGGTATAACACAGCTAACAAAGTATATGTAAAGAACTTTGTACAGGTTCACTTGCTAAAATAAAATGAACTCCTTTGTGACTCACTAAAATGTTTTGGGGATATTAATGGTTGCCTTGCTGAAGGATTGTTGCAAACTATGCACAAGGGACACTTAAAAATTGTGTTTTACAATATAGACCTACTGTGGGAGGAAAAAGCAAGCATTTATGTAAAAACAGATTATTAAATTAATTCAGCCCTAGCTTGAATATGTATTGAATACACCAACATCTGCAAGTTCTTGTACTTTCTGAATGGATGATACCTATAAAATGTAATAACCATGAACATAGAAGTATACAAACACCATTGAATGAGGGTTCACTAAACAACAATTCATTATAAGAAAATCATACTGACTGGAGCAGAGTTGTCCCGGCTGCCTCTGGACCGAACCAGCCTTCCAAGGATCTCCACTCCATCCGTGGTGATGTTTCCAGCCGCGCTGACTGGTTTCTCCTCGACCGCTGAACAGTCCAACACCACCTTCACAGACGTCTTGCTGATGGTTACATGGAGCTGTATGCAAGAGAGACAACAATTATGCACAAGATTTGATTTGCCTTTATTACCCATCATGATTGTCATAGATATAAAACTCATTAGATATAGTCCATGGAACAGAGTTGTAAAACCATTTAAAGTGCAGCATTTTTCTCAGGTCTTGCATCTGTGGTCAGCCAAGACCACTTCTTCACTTAATCGCAATGACAATAGGTTTCCTCATGCTTGTTAGGATACTTATAACAGAGGTTAAAAGCATCTGAGCACACAAATTGTCCCGTCCACTGAGAGTGGCTGTGAGCTCAAACTGCCTCCTTAGAGGACACCACTGGCAGCGCCCTGAACTGTGAAATTCGACAGTTCACATGGTTAATGAGCAGAGAGGGCTGCAGCCTTGTGAAGGGTAGTAATAAACTGTACTACTAGCAGCACCATATTATGCCATTTAGGGCAGATTTCAAACACTCTTTTCCACCCTCAATAAATTGGATGCATGCATTGTAAGTTAACAACAACCTCAAGACACAGACACACAACAAGATGCAGCTGGAGGGCAGTTAGACAAAGTTCATATTCAAGTGTCAGTATCCATTCCTCGACTGACGTTTTGACGGCACTCACTAATGACTTTGTTCTCATCCTCCAATCTGCACACTTCACTGGGTGTGTGTGTGTGTGTGTGTGTGTGTGTGTGTGTGTGTGTGTGTGTGTGTGTGTGTGTGTGTGTGTGTGTGTGTGTGTGTGTGTGTGTGTGTGTGTGTGCACCCCTAACTAGCTCCTTCATTTTACTCTAGCAGTGACTCAGGCTTATTTACAGTCTGGAGGAAGTTTATCTTGAAAATTGACTATTTGAACCATTTCTTTGCTTTATGAAATCCCCAAAACCTGTCAAGCAGCGGCAGAGATTAAAAAAAAGAAGCAACTTTTTCAAGCAAACATTTCTTTTTGGAGTCGTGCTGTACTGCGACAGGTTGGCATACTTATTTACACTTTAAAACGGACATGTACAGGGAAAGTTAACATGCATATGAAATCATCACTCATTATCACGGTCAAAGCGTTAGTTAGTTTGTAGTGTGTAATCACATTACAACTTAGAACGGGTTTCTGCAACAACGCGTGGGTACCAGTGAGTTTAAAGCTTATTGTAATGTAATAAAGATGCTTTGCTCTTTTTTTTGTACATCTGAGACTCTTTGTACATTAATATTATTTTTAGGTTTGTGCCTGTGTTTAAAATATTCAAATCAGCTCAATTAAAAATATTTTTTTATTTTGCAATGGAAAAACTTTATGAACTTGGAAACAAACTTAGCTTGTTTCAGCTGTGTGTGTCTGACTTTCAGTTCAGGAAATGTGACCAAAAGAAAAAGCCAGACCAGAGAAACGAGGCTAAAATATAAAAAATATCAGTAGCATAATGTTTTTTTTCTCTATGTTGCTCCTGGCGGCTGGCTGGAAACTACAGAATCCAAAGCTAATACTTCTGCCAGCACAAGATGAATTAGCCTCTCAGAAATACACAGCCTCGTATTTTTCCTACTGCTGCCTTACACATCAACAGTTTCCATCTCTAATGTAAAGCCTCAGTTATTTGTGACTCTCTGTCAGACAAATAACCTTTTATTGTTTTTTATTAAACAAATTAATACATTATCTTTGTCATATGACTTTGTAATAACTGAGAAATTGAATAGCAACTCTCTATTGTACATTGATAGAAAGCTAAACACTGAACTTTATCTGTGCTGTTATTTTAGTGTTTATGTGTTAATTTTGTCTCAAAAGAAGAAAAAGATAAAGGTTTTCTCTTTGCAGAATTTTAGAAAACTTTGACTTTTTGAAATAGTTTTATGCTCCAGGGGTATTTATATCTCAACGCAATTACTCAAAGTCATGAGAAAATTTAAATGTAAGTTTTTTGTGAGCATAATGATGACAGATTAAAAAAGATTAAAAAGCCAAGTTAAAAAAACGTGTTAATTCAACCAATGAAATATGAAGGAAGAGGAGAGGGAAACGTGTGTGTGCTCAGGCTGAGTTCCGCGGTGTCTCGCTGTCTCGCAGACCCCACGCAGCAACCAGGAAACGACACCAGTAATCCAGCTCACAGTGTCCGCTCCTCGAGCCTCAAAGGGCGGAGCAGCGAGCCCCGCAACGTCCCGCCAACACGGCACCCAGACCCCACGCAGCATTCTCATCTGTTTGTCATTACTGGTGTCATTTGATGGTTGCTAACAAACACCAATAGGCGCTTTCACACCGCAGTACTTTTCCCACAAAGGTTCATGAGAACTTAGTTCTTTAGTTCTGATGAACTAAAGAGTTCACACCGGAATAAGTCCCTGGGGGTGGATTAGGCAAATGAAGCCGCTGACGTCACTTCTTCTGCTTTGGGTTTACTGGCAGGCCGCAAACAACTTCACGGCGTATACTGCCGCCCAAAATCCCCGGCCGGAAGTCCCCGGAGTTGGAGAGACAGCAAGCGCATTTCGTGGCATCTGCGGGCAGTGGCAAGTACTTCCGGCATCTGCCACGGAGGCCGCTACTCCGTGGTATCTGTGGCAAGTATATGCCACAGATGCCAAAACTTGCCGTGGCAAGTATATGCCACAACCATGCCACAACTTGCCGTGGCAAGTATATGCCACAATTTATATATGCCACAACTTGCCGTGGCAAGTAGTATATGCCACAACTCGCCCTGGCAAGTAAATGCCACAAGTTAAGAGTTAAGAGAAGGTTTACGGTAGCTGCCACTTGCCTTCCGTGGCAAATGCTGATATTTAAACCCGTAGCCTATTTATCNGAATGATAAATGCCAAGATGCTGAGGGAAGTGTGGTACATCAGACTTCCTATACGTGATCATGTATGCCGTCAACATGCAAAGGGCTTTGTGAAAATGGCTGGTATAAGCATGTGTGGGAATGATTAAGACCACTCTCATATTCGTCATTCTCACGGCTCTGAACAACTGAGAACGGTCCAGTTACATTTCATCAGGATTTTAGACTCGCTACGAATAACCCTACAAATGAAAATATATCTTTTGGTGAACTGTGTTTTATGATTATGACTAATGAGAATTAAACACTGTATCATACATGGTATGATGTATGTTTAGTAATTATGGTGCTCAACAGAATTGCACTGCAGTGTTTCAATGATAAAAAATGTATAAGCTACTTTTGCTAAAATGAAGGTTAAAGACAAAGGGGTGCGCTTAACCAACTGCCAGTTCAGATTCTGAATGAGAGAAGAATTCATGAAGTATAGCATAGAGAAATTCCATTTCAGGCATCATTATCCGGATCCTAGTAATTAGCTGCTCGTGACGAGTTCCCCTCTTGATTACCCGAGTCGCTTTTGAGTCCTACACCTGGTGACGTATTACAAATTAAACTATAAATTGCGTCACTCGCTAACCATCCTTATAACATGCTTAACAATCCACATTACAACCGTACCCAGTCCATCTGCCTATGCCTTTAGCAAAGTAGGTATAGCTGCCAGAAGTTATCTTTGGCCCAGGGAAACGCGGATCCAGTGAAACTTCCTGCAGACTCGTGCGGACTCAGAGCCGTAACCGTAGGAGATCCAGAGAATCCAGGCAGACTCATCATGCACGAGTCAACAAACAGACTCGCAAATCCTGACTCACTGAATCAAGGGAACTTCCTTCACTCCTGCAGACTCGTGGGACTCAGAGCCATAACCGTATAGCAGGGTCCCTCAGGGACTTATTCCGGTGGAACGCGATCTGCTCTTTAGTTCCGGGAACTAAAGAGTGTCTGATGAACTAAGTACTGGGAACTAAGTACGCGCAAAGTACTTGGTTTGAAGCGCCTCGTGTAGCTTCTTTCTTCAGCGTAAACGGTCTTCAAAGTACACAAACCCTAAAAGTACACCTCTGCGCGAGTAAACTCTTCTACACAGAAAATACCTGTCAATGCTGCCACAGAACGCCTCGTTGGAGATTTTCTTTTTCCATTTTTTTCTTCCTGAGTATAGTGACGTAACGATACCCAGGTCCAAAGGAGCCAATCCGCGGAAGCTCCTCAACACACACACTCACTCACTCAGCCTTATCTTTTCTCAGCCACGGCTAACGTGGGAATCTCCACTCAGCAGTTTCGCCACACACTCACATGGTTTGCCAGGCTGAGTTCCGAGGTGTCTCGCTGTCTCGCTGTCTCGCGCAGGACCCCAGCGCCAGCAACCAGGAAAGACACCAGTGGATACAGCTCACACTGTCTGCCTCCTCGAGCCTCAAAGGGCGGGGCAGCCGAGCCCCGCAACGTCCCGCAACACGGCACCCAGACCCCACGCAGCATTCTCATCTGTTTGTCATTATTAGTGTCCTTTTCTGGTTGCTAACAAACGCCATTGTAACACATAAACACACATCAGTGAGCTCATAGGGAGGGGGGGGCAAGAGCTCCAATAAGGCGTTTAGGACAGAGAGTGAATACACATACTATACAGAGATGCTGTATGAGAAACGTGACATGTGATTTTGGAACATTGAAAAATGTAAATCTATTCTAGTAGACCTCAACAATGGAGTTATGATCAGTAGAAATGGCCAAAGCATGGGACCTTTAAATAAGGCTCCTGGAGATGCTCAGCCCATGCATAACCAACCCACAAGCATTCCAGTAAGGGACATTTCCTTTTAGCCACAATGGAAAGCAGAATATTTTTTCACAACTGCCAATAAAGAGGCAAAGGAGTAAAATGGCCAGAAGAAGATGCATATCGCTCCATTCAGTCTAATATTACACTACAATTTATTTTGTTCGCCCACTAGAGGCATTTTTATTTAAACAGAGATTACTTAAATCATCTGACTGTAAGGACATGTCAATTGTTACACACTTCTTCCTCATTCCTGAGGTTAGTATTAAAAGTTATTATTTTAATGGCTCATTGTTCTTCATTGGCTATGCAGCCCAGCAGGTTCTGAGGTCCACTCACCCCCCCCTCCCTGAGCAGGCTGCCCAGGCTCTGCTG